CATAATTGTTCATATACGCTGTGTCCAAGATATGGATGTCTATCATGGGTATCTCGAGAACCAAAGAAAATACGAAAATGGTCAAATTACAGAAAAGTTACTATCATGCTGTAAAGAAAATCACAACATTCCGAATACTTGCGAAAATATTCCAAAAAAACCGAAATTTGTCGATTTTGTTTTTTTTCTGATGTTATTTGAACAGAAAAAAATAAAAAAAACACATTCTCATTGCCACTATTTGAGCTTTTGTTTCGGAGAAATCATCATCAACTTTATTTTTTTATATGGCCTTTAAAATAAGTACATATGGTATTGAGTAGCATTTTTTATAACACACACACAAAAAAAAACAAAAGTTCGAAAATGTTAGTTTCAACAGGATGGTGCACTCGTGCACAACGCCCTGATCGTGCGAGAAAACCTATCGGAAAAATCCTTATCTTGGATAAAAACAAATTGTCGGTACTCACAAAGGGAAAATTATTGGTCTGGACTACGCGCATCAGTTGGTGGAGTGAAAACCTCAAATGCAAGTACGTATCTCCATAATGAGTGCCGGAACAGGGCACTCGAATCTTTTCAGTTCTCAGCTTTAGTTCGCATGAGAGTGTCAATTCAGTCTGATCGGACCGTCCATTTTAACCCTGTCTAGAAAAGGGCTTAATTTAAAAAAAAATTCTGTTTACACGGGTTTGGTTGCACCTTCGGTTGTCAGAGTGATTGAGACAAAGGCCAAAACCAAACATCTTTTACTGGCTTAATTGTTATACGGGGTGGACCATTAGTATGTAGATGGAAGATTGTGGGATTATTAATGCACATATTTAAAATTCATTGTCGGAGCATGCTAAAGGACTCTTAAGGCTACAATTTAAAAAAAATGCAAAACAAAATTACAATTGCTATACACAGTGATTTATATCAAAGTTGCATTTTTTAAATGGAACTCCTTGTATATTATTGAATATTTTGATTCCATCTGACGCAACGAAAAAAGCTTGCTAGTTCCTTTTAAAGAATCCAGTTGTCTTTCATTGAAATCAAAGAATCTAAATATCCAATAATATACAGGTTCTTTAACGTGATCCTGCAATGATTAATAAACCCCCAATCTTCAACCGACGCACTAAGGGCCCAGCCTGTATAGTGTACATATCAATACGAGTGTAGTACCTAAGTCTTTTGATTGGGATATGGAATATCGACTTCTTTAGCCTAGATATCGTTATTTATTCACTAATTTCGATATACTTGCTGTATCGGTTGTCAGTCGCACACGAAAACCCGTTTACTGTATAGTTACAGCACGAGGTGCGATCGAGCGATGCATCCGTCTGCAAGGAGTAATTCACAATTAAGGGTTATTAAAACTACAACAATGGACACGAAATTTTGATATTATAAGTTCATGCACCAACTTCATTGGATTTTGCAAACGGCATAGTGATTTCGAATCACTTTAGACAGGGGTTGTTCTGATGTTGTATTTGACCTACACGTAACATGTTCACTCAGTGTTAACAGAGAAATTTGTTCCACCAAAAATGGGGCATTTTTTCTCGGATTTGCTTTTAAAATTAACGTAATTTGATTAGAATCTTAGGATCAAATTAGTCTTTTGATTTCACCATTACAGGTTTTGATGTTGAGTGCCATCCAATCAAACTTCACCTCATTGGTAGCCTAAAACGATTTAGCCGAGTTCATTTTTGGATAGGCTCGTGCAGATTTTCTCAAAATTATGGCCAACCCCACAGCAAGGCTGCGCAAAAAACTCCAATCTCTACGAAATTTGGGAATGTTACACATGAAAATAATGATTCTACTAGTTATTTATTATATAATACGATAAAGGGCGTTGTCATATGTTCTGAACATCATTTTACATCGGGCTCCGCGTCCCATTTAATATTTCAACTGGCACGCGGAGCACGATATAAAATGCGATGATGATTGTGTATTCTATTGACGATGATAATAATGATACTTTTGTGGTCCAAAATATGTCCTTGATGATAAAAATTGATTGAGATATGTATCTAGATTTTTGCTTAAATAGAGTAGCAACTGTTCTGTTATTGTAATACACATTTTGTCATACTAGATCATCCTCTGAAGAATAGCGCATTTTTTATTCTTGTATTGAAGATTTATAGGGGTTCTGGGTTAGTTTTAGTTCTTCAAATCTTTGCACTAATACTTATAAAAAAGGATATTTTTGAAAAATACGAGTCTGATGTCTGAATAATAAAAGGCGAAATAAAAGGAATTTAATATACGTTGCACAACACAATTTCTCTAATTGGAAATGCCTTTCTTTTCTTCTATCAAAATTTCGTATATACCAGAATTTGTTCAAACGTAATGATACAATAAAATAATAAAATTTGCGAGTTGTAATCGTTAAATAGTTCAAGTCCGATTCTTTAATGAGATAAAATTCGATTTGCAGTATATTTTATTACGAGATCGACCTTTAATCGGCGATTTCTCTTCTGAAAAAAAAATGTTTCATTTTTTAATTACTTTCGGGCCCGCACAAAAAAATGTGCTCCACAACCGATTTGGTATAGCGAAGAAAGCTCGCGCTGAGCGCTTACACGAAATTTATGTTAAAAATATGAAAATTAAAATTGATTATGCCGAAAGGAAAGTTTGCAATTAATCTTTTAAGTAGGAAAGTTAACGTATATGCAATTACACAAGAAGCGTTTCGTTTACATGATAAATCATAGTTTAAACAACCTTTCCGTTATTGTGGGTGGACAAAACACAATAATGTTATTTACTTATCGTGAACTGCAAAAAAGTTGGTCGTAATTTTTTTAAGTACGGCATTCTTTTTCAGTTAATAGACGTTAAAAAGAAGCATAAAGCTTTGGCATGCGTGCGTAGGTGTTTTGCATAACCTACCTATTGAGCGGGAGCTAACAGTTAATTTTAATTAGCGATTTTTATCCCCCCCACTCGCAGCGGGAGCGTTTTTTTGCAGTTTTGAAAATTCCGTCCTTGTACTTTTTCCGCCTTTTTTTCATGTAAACGCACAAGTTATGTGGGTGATGTAGGAAACATCAAGGTTACAATATGCCTAACTCATTCATATATAGCAGAGCATTGAGACATGAATATTATTTATGTAAACTCGTTTGACAAGATTTATCAAATTTATTAACTATTTGGCCGATACCGTTTTACTTTAATATAAAACTCGTTTGCTGCATCTTTCAGCCGAAAGTTGAATTGCCCCCATTTTTTCTATTGTAACATATCTGCATATAAGCCGGTCTACTTAGCTATATAAAAACGCACCCACGCACCTACCATTTCAAAATAATTCCTATTTGTATAACTGACATGATGAAAGCTTTAAATTTAGGCAATAATTTATACACCTGTTTGCATAAGTAGCTTTAACTTTAAATACGTAATACTATTAATCTGATTGCTACAGAATCATTTGGCATGGACGATGATGTAACCGCGGCTAAATTTACAATTAGCGCATTTTATGATTTATCTCGGCATATGTTCCGAAATGTAGCACTTCTGCGGGAACGTATCGGAATTTCGAAAAAGAATGCTAGAAAAATGCCACTTTCTAATTCAAAATAGCCAATATTTAACAAACGTCTTACAACACGCTTACGCAATTGAATATCTATTTATAAACCAAACGTTCATTTACCCGTTCGGCATAATATTATTGTTACCTTCGAATTTTTAATATCATAATTTTTAGCCAGGTCATTAACGCTTTTATAGCACTTTTATTCGACCTATAAAATAATTATGCCGGCCGGCCGTTTTGACAAACGCGCATATTTTCTTAAATATTGAACTTTAAAATTTGATTGCTTTTCTTCACATGGCACGATATCGGCCGTTTATGAAATAATTAAATCTTTTATTGCGCGGTTTGTCGCAAAATATTGCAAACATCAAGCAAGACTAACGCACGAAGAATGAGAGGACGAATGATTTATAGCACTTTCAATTCTTTTTGTTTGAGATGGTAATAAGCGTAAAAGTCACGCGAGCACACGTAAGGCTTCAAGATGATCGTTTAGCTTTCGCTTTTCAGAGACAAATTTTACAGAAGTTCACGGAGGAATTAACCATTTGCGAACATGTTCAGTCTACAAATTTGTGCTGATTTATTCTGAACCCCGTACAAAGCTCCACCCTTCAGCAGGGTTTTGTCGGCCCTGGAGATTATCGCACCTCCTGTTAGTATAAATGCGATGCTGAGCTCGATTTTATTTAAGACTCCGAGCGTTGCTCTAAGCCAATAAATTCTGATCTGCACGAAATTTGTGAATCTATTAAATGATGAAAATTCCCGATTGCTAATTGGAAAAAAGCTTGTTCACAGCTTAAAATTGCACTTGAATACTCAATGAATTATAAAAGATCCATAATGTAGCGAGCATTCCTAAAATCCCAATAAACATCGAGGCGCCATAAGAGATTAGTCATCGGCGATAAGGAACCAAGGTGGATGTGACGCAACCTTTCCGGGAAACATGATGTGTTTTGTTCTAGAATGTTCGAGAATACCCCGAGTTTACTATATAAGCAAATCGTTTCAGGACGGTTCCAATTGCAACGCCGCCGTGTATATGAGTGATAAATAATATTTTAACTGTTATAATTTATTGTTAATTAAATGTAAATAAAATAAATAACGTAATTAAATTCGACGAGGCGTATCTGAAATCTCGGGAAAGCCTTCCATGGCTTACGGTTGTTGATAAAAAAATTTCATTACTCCGTATCACTGACTGGCCCAGTGCTTATCTCGATACAAATTGCAAACTATAATGCTTTATAACGTGTGATGTTTACTCCCTATTAAAGTTTTCTCTTTTCTATTTCAAAGAATCCGCATTTCCGATTTAGGCTCGGATTTAGGTATAGGTACTTACATTTAACAATTTACCGCGGCGTCTATTTCTGTGGGATTTTATTAGCTACTAATGCGACATTATTGGTTGCAGATCATAAACAAAACTAAGAAGAACATGGGAAAACTACTACGCCAGTTCGGACGACAACTACGAGAGTGTAATCTCAAAAACATCTCACCTGACCCCTGGCACGGATTGTTCGTTCAATTCTCGAAGCGTAGAGCTAGCTTTTACACGGCTCACTTGAAAACTCTTACCGGAGCGCGCCATCTAAGTTTGGCGACCCCTAAATTTGGAGCCCCGAGTAGCTGCTCGGCCCACCCGTACCCAATACGGCGTTGCATAAGACATTTAGAACCACCCTGTATGTATAACCTACGCTGATTATTAGAAGGGAAAAGCTGTCTGGGCCGTCTCAAGAGCACCAACGCTTGTTAGTTGTTACGTTACAGCTATCTTGGTTTCAGCGGTCGTCAAGAGAGCATCGTGTATTTTAAGTTTGTTGTTTTTTTGTGTTATTTAATTCTGGTAGTAATCTCTAATCTTGATCATTTATGTGTACCTTATTTTATGTTTTTTTTATAATTTTCAATCTTTGGCATGTGTATGAAAAATGCCGTTAACCTTTATTGTTTGCAATCGTTTTCATGTTTGGTTGCATGGTCTTCGGCCCAAGTTGAATTTTTATATTTGGTCATTGGTTTAAATTTTTGAAAATTATCCAATTGCTTGATGTTTCGCCACGCAGGAGTAACGGGGATGGGAATACTACACACTTATTACGACGTCGACGGATGTAATTGATCTGGAATATCAACTGTAGGTTTAGAATTCCGAACGAGGACCAAAGTTACCCCTCCCAGGAGTGGGACCCTGCTAACCAAAACTCTTCAGTTTAGAATCTACGTGCAATGTGAGTTGAGATTCTCTAATTTGCACATATTTTGTTGTTAACGTTGAATTTGCCTTCAAAGGCGGTCGATGTAATGTGGCTTTTAACAAAAGGTTTTTATTGCACCAAAGATGAGTCACTTTGTTTTGTTACCCGCTTGTACCCCAACCAGTTCTTTGTTTTGTAATTTGCCTATTTTATATCATATTTTGTGTATGTGGTTTTTATTTATCGTGCTTTATTTTCAACCATTTAATGCAATAACAAATTATTTTGCAAGACGTCGATTTGCTAAACATTTTGATAAAAAGTGTCACACTTGAAAGACACTGGTTTATGCAACGTATCATAGATAAAATAAAACAAGTATAAATTGTGCACAACTCTTGTGCAGATAAAGAGCATTTTTTTTTAACCGAAATAGCTTTTGCATGGATATATTACTTTCAGACGTCTCAATCGTCCTTTGTGAGAACCCTCTTCCGACAATCCCTTCTTGAGGTATAAGGGAATATACCCGATCACGATAAGAGGTCGAGGAGGAGGGCTACGGTAGGTAGAAATTAATTCCTTTCGTTGAGACCTTTCATTAGAGTACCATGAAGGATAAAACTAGTTCCACTTCCCCCTCCCCGTACTTTGATAAGAGGACAGAAAGAAGGGCAGTAGTTGGTACAAAACGGTTCCTTTCGTTGAGACCTTTAATTAGAATACAATGAGAGGTAAAATTAATTTTAAAAAAAACGCAAACAATAGCACATTTTTTTTAATTCTTAAAAAAAGCGCTAAAAAATAACTAGGGCATCGCATTTCAAATAGTTGTGCAAGTTGTGGGATTCGAACTTACAACCTGTAAGGTTAGAGTCGGAGTCTTAAACCGCTACATCCAACTGACTGGATTGTGCATTCCAATGACATCTGCCATTCTTATTATAAATAGGACGCGGAGCACGATATGAAATGAACTTCAGAACAGAATACAGTATTGTTTCCATGGAAACCTAAGCTTGCTATTTTGGTTGTCTAAACCTACAGAATTTGCTTCAGTTATAAAATAAAGTGTTATATTATACAAGACGATAAACAAAAAACATTAAAACATACCTTTGCTGCCTTGTAAGTATAATAAATAACTATTAAAGATAAACCACTATTTAATACTAAACAATGCGTTAAAGTAAATAAACTTATGTGCGGACTTATGCCTTACACACTACATAATAAGAATAACTGTTCAAGAAATGTATACAAGGTCCTCATGAATTCATGTCAAAGACCAATTTTTTAAATGAAAATAATATATAATAAATAAATTAAGTACCTATATAATAAATGGTTACTAATGTGATTGAGGTCGTGTAAATTTTATAAAATAATATGGATCGATTAATTGAGGGGTCAAATGATCTTGGTATTCCGAGGGGTGGGACACTCCTTAAACAGGTGTACCCGTGTATAAATATATTTAATAAATACTTTTAAATTCAATAAATAAGTTAATCCTCGAGTTAATCCCACAAAATACACTTAAATCCGAGCTTAAATCCCGAGTTAAATCCAATTAAATTCCGACACTTTTCTAAGGCATCTCCGTAATTATTACTGCTATCAAAAAAAGTTTGTAATATCCTGTGATCTTTTTGGGTCAAATAGCACGATCAAAATTTGAAAAGATTCACTCGCTTAAGAGATACGAGGGAAAATCAAAAAATTCCTTAGACACGAAAAAATGGTTTTTACAAAAGTACTTGCTGAATAATCTGCCGTTTTCAAAATAAGTATACGATATATGTCAGTTAAAAAGTTACCGCACCTAATATCATTTTTTAAATAGAACACCCTAAATATGTATTTTAATATAAAAAGATAGTATATTAAATTCGCTTTTTAAAAATATAACACACTAGGGATGATACTAAAAATGTACTAGTTGTTCAAAAAAATTTGAAAAATCTTGAATCTTTTTGAACTAATATTGAATTTTTCCAAATCTCTGTAGTGTTATATTTTCGGACAACATTTGATTTGTTATCTTTGTAGAATAAAATATACAGGGTGTTCCACTAAAAAAATGAGGTTAGGTGGAGTAACTTTTTACCTCCCCCATATACATATTTTGAACGGGCAGCAATCATTATGAAGAAACTTTTAAAACATTTTTCTATATATCTTTTAACTAAGAAAATGTAGGGTCATTCTGAAATTGACATTTTTTTAATTTCCCCTCGTATGTCCTACGCAAATGAAAATTTTCAAATTTTGATTTTACCATTTTAAGTTAAACTCCAAGAGCACTTAACATTCTATCTTAAACCTTTTTGATGGCACTAACAATTGGAGATACCCTATAAAAGTGTCGAATATGGGACACCGTGTACCTACTTATTATACCTACAATAGGCAATTTCACGAACAAATCGGTAGGGACAGCTCCTTTACTCCAATATTCTAGAATGTTCTCGAACAGACACATCATATTTCCCGAAAAGAATGCGTTACATCCGCTTTCCTTTCTTATCGCCAAATCCTTTATGGCGCCTCGATGTCTCTCGGGGTTTCTAGAATAATCGCTACACTACACATCGAACGATTTTGAAACATAATCAACCCCTGCTGGTTATACTAAAAATCCCATTGAAAAATCGATATGGACAGCTCCTTGGAGATAAAGTCAGGATATGTAAGCTGTTTAACCATAGATGTTGTCTCATACTGCTAGTATTCCATTTGTAAGAAATGTGTATCTCAATGCCATGACCCAGCAATGTACCATAATTCCCTGCTACCGCTACCGTATATAATTGATGACATGATATTATGCCAGTCGGTTCGTGTCAAATAGTAAGAGTAGAACACCATAACCTACAATTAAAAACGCAACAACACTCAATCAAGGGCAGTCCATTTCAGACATTTACAAATGTTAGCTTATGGCAAACACAAAATATCAAACTAAATTACTTTTTAATCCCCTATCACGACTATGAAACCTAAAGACAGTGAGCAGAAAGGACGAAACCTTCAAGTTGGACGATAACTGTGCCTAATCGATAAGACAGTTCATTGAAAAATTCAAATTCGAAAAGAAAAAACGTTGTCGTTTGATTCCAGCACAAAAGGATAACGATCTCGACGGGCTTACGAAATATTAAGGTCAGATTTCCTGGGATACATTTAGAGGTGTTGATACAAATTCCGACCATTTTATTGCCCTAATTAAAAATGTACAAAGTACACACAGATGCTTAAAAGAGCAATCAGAAAAAATTAACATTTATATTTCCCAATAAGATTAACATGTCGACGAAAATGGCGTAACGCCTAGGTGGTGTCAATAAACAACCGTGCTTTATGCCCAGTGCGTGTTCATATGAAAATATATTTAAATGAAAACAGAAATTAATATAATAGGGAAGCTGCAGTTGATATAAATTAAGAAGATACGCGATCGAGAAAGTTTAACCTCCTAAAATCGGTCGTTGTTTCACTTTAGCCGAAAAAACTGGACGCAACTGCATTCACTTTTAAAGAAACCTACTACTGTAAGGATGATATTGTGATGATAACCTGTCTTTAATCTGCCTGTGCTTTATTTTTAATGTGTAGAAAGTCACCGGTCCAGATCGAGAAGCTGATGTAGCAATATTTAAATTTAAAGGGCCGAAGAAAGTCGAATCAATTTGGGCAGTATACTTACTACGAGTAAAAATTTTAAATTAAGTTGTAAATAACAACGAAATTAATTAAGCAATTATGCACTTAATTAGGTTAAATAGTTTGGAAGCCGTGGAATTTTAAATTAATTAAACGCGGATCCTCTCGAATACTTATAAAATTAATGATTTGCATTTGTACATCTCAAACTATAGATAAATTTAACGGTCTGGTTTCTTTATTTTATCTACGCATAACGTTTCTTCTTTTTAACTGCCTACAGATATTCCACAATTACATTTTTACATATTTTATAGTGAATGTAGGAATACAGCGCTTTGCATCACACTGTCAAATTAAGATATTTCGTTGTGTTGAAACAGTCAGTTTCATTCTTCAAATATACGAGATATTTCTAGCTTATCTGATTTAGCGACTAATGTCAAGGTAGTAAAATAGGTATCAATAAAATGACAATTTTTATTTTAACACCATTTCGTTATAAAACGTGGACTCAACATCAAAAACCAGTCTGAGTCGCTTCACGTTTTTGTATAACCTCGTTTCTCCATCTCGTTTTTACTTAAAATTTACATTATCCTATCGCGTTAATGCTGTAAAATCAATATTGAATATTGATACTTTATTTAACCAATACCATAACAATACAAACATCTACATTTTGACTATCAAAAATATCCACCTTCACATCACCAATAAATAGCAATTTAACGCTACGGCAGAGTGCTCACTTATCGCAATGTGAGGACGTCTTTTTGCATTGCATTGATTGTAAAATTGCAATGCAAATAAATTTGCATTTTAATATGGCTCCCCTAACACTAAAATGAATGGAATTCAGTTGTATTGGAAACTTAAGTGCTTATTTATGCCTAATTTACTAAGATAATCCGTCCTGTTCACGGAGAATTAGTAAACGAAAAAACCATTAAGACGGTGCGAATTAATTTTCTGAATGTTTAAGATTGTGTTATTGCCATTTCTGAACGATAACTTTTC